TGTAATTTGTCACAATGATATAGCTTGGTTCCTAAATGGGAAATGTTTAAATCAAGCAGCAATTAATGCATTGTAAAGCACTTCAGGTAATTGTGTAATAAGCAGCACATTACCTAGAGTAGTAACACGTTTTACAGCTAAACCAGCAGGAAAAATAATGGTTTTTGCCAGGTTATTTTAGGGTGTGAAACATGCTGTTGTGGAAAGACAGTGTGAATCCATATTATGCAGAAATCAATGGATACCCATCTTTTCAGGCTACAGTAGGAGCCGTGTGACAAGGGCACAACATTTTTCCTAATCAAGCAGGTTATGTGAAAGCTAAGAGTCAAGCTGAGCTTGCTATATCCAGCTGTACTTTGTTTGCTACTTAATGGAGCAGGTCATAGTTATAACACCCCAAAGAAATCAGCTCGTCTCAGCCTGAGGAGCACAGAGAAAGTGTTGGAACTCCAGCGGCTCCGCATTAAATCACTTCTATAGGTCATCTGCAGAGAGGGGACTCAGGGAAATAATAAACCAGTGTCGTTCTTCTGCTGGTGTTTAAGACTCGTCCCCACGGGAGGGAGTGTCTGGCTTTAGGTTGGGGAAAGCAATATGGCTAAAGAAACAGTTATTTATGTATTATACAGTTCCTGGCAAACCATCAGACGCCGGGTTTGCAGCTCCCTCTGCTCTGGATCCAAGGAAGAAGGGTTTGTAAAATAGGTTGGTGTGGACAACAACCCCCAGGGCAACAACCCCCGGGCTGGGCTGCAGCTTGGTGACTGCTCTTCCCTCCCGTCCCCTCGTGCTCTTCCCACCCGTCTAAATATGGGATTTTGAATTGGATTTTGAAGAAATATCTGCAGTACATCATACCCGGCCTCCCCAAAGAATGTCTCCAGTCCTGGGCCTTTAAGAGGGAAGAATAACACGTACATCATGCTCGCTCCTTTTCATGGCACTCCCAGGGAGCTGCTGACCAAGAAAGTGCTAACCATCGTGTTTTCACCTTTAACTTTGAAACATGCTGATCACATTTTCTCCTTCAGCCTTTTTCTCTCAGCTGCTCTTGTACATAGTTTATTCAATTCATGGCAGTGTACACCAAAAATCAATAAAAAGCATTTATTATAAAGTACCAGAGATTAAAATAACTGACTTAGCTATGCTATTAAAACATGGGCAGCTCAAAGCAAGGATGTACACTTCACACAAAATATGATTTATGTTTTGCAGAGGAGGAAAAATCCAGTAAGCAGAAAAGGAAGTTTTTCTGTCTTGCCAATGAATCACTGTCCTGCTTTTAAAAAAAGTTAATAAACATGAAATGATTATTTAATAAAACTAATCTAGCATTTTATTGTAAATATAGCTCTTGTAAATAATGACTGTCTGCCCTGGGCAGCAATGATGCTTCCAAAACTTTAACCAGGTCAGCAAAGTGGCTGCCTCAGTTTCCAAGACTTATAAAATATTTCCTTTTAGCAGCCAATTTTAGGTGTACACACTTTCCAGGTATGAAATGTTTACAGGTATGCACCTATACTTTATGAAACAAAGCCCAGTTTTCAAGCAAAGGTACGCAGAGCTCCCCAGGCTCATCCATCTGTAGTCGTGCACATCCAGGTAGCGAAGGTCTCATCCTGAAGGATGTTCCCAGGGCCAGCAGAGGCTGGGGGGAGCCCGCAGCTCCCGGGAGCCCCCCTGGCACAGCACGCAGCCCCGCAGCCTCCCCTGCTGCAGCAATGCCTTATGCCACGCTAACGAGCCAGCGAGGACGCCGCCCTGGAGCCCCGCATCCCCCGTTGGCAGCAGACGAGCAGATAGTCAAATTACAGAACTGCACAGCACAGATGTCTGCTGGGCATGCTGCTGGATGGAAACGCGCCGTCGTCAAAAGCTGAAGTCCCAGCAAAAGCAGCAAGACGTCTCAGCTGCGCCGACGGAGAATTTCACAGGCAGGTTTGAAGTTTACTCAGCTTAGCAAAAGGAAGAGGAGGGAAAGCGACTGCAGTTTGTTGCAACAGGCAAACTGAAATTCATTTAATTTGTTACTTGCCGTTTTGTCCTATAAACTCAACTACTTATTAACACTGTAAATATGCCTTTTTACTGGCTCCCTGACAGCTCACATGCTTTCTGTGCTGTCTCCTTAAACATTTATGAGCGTTCATGAATATGCAAATCCACCATCTAATGTCTGCAAAATGGTTGCAAGTACAAATGCTGTGTTAATATTTCATACAATGATGGGAGCAAATCAACAATCATAAATTTTGAACAAATATGTTGCTTCATTAATAACTAATGAAGCAGGGCACGGAGCTCTAGATTTGGCATTTAATAGTAAAAGTGGTGTTTAAAAAGAGCTTATCAGGCACCACGCTCGTTTGCAAAAGGGTTAGCAGCCTCTGCAGCTTACAGGGAGGTGCCAGGATGATAAATACTGGAGATGCACTCACAGAAACAGAGTTATGGATATATCTCCAAGAACTACATCTCTTCCCCGAGTCTTTGCTGGTTTTGGAAGACCAAGGAAATTGTCAGACTGCACAGCACTCACCTCAAAGCCTCAGCGGTCTGCAAGCCTTTGTGAAATAGGATTTGTAGCCTGGGGATTTGCTTAAAGAAGCCCCCCTGAGTCATCAGTAAACCTTGGCCACCAGTGGAGGTCTCTGCACCGACCCGGGATGCCACCACCCACACCCCTCCTCTGAGACACCCAGCTCGGTGTCCTGATGTCCGTAGGCATCCCAGAGCCTGGCAGCATTAATTTAATCGGATTACGGGCCGCAGAGAAGGGGAGGGAATCATTAAGAACGCCTCCCAAGTTACCCTGTGCCTGAGCGTTTTCTTCCAGCATAATTTGCTTTCCGCAGAGTTACTTTGATTGTGATTTAATTAAGGTCTGTGTTTAGCGTTTCCCCACGCAGAACCTGCTCTATTCCTCTGACTAGGTGGAGGGGAAACAGTGGGAAAATAATGGTTTTGTGTTTTCTGTCACAAAAGGTGGATCTGGTGCTTCTCCCAGGTGCTCACCGAAGTTCCTCCTAGCGTAACCCAGTCGGCACAGGTTGACACCAGCTTCAGAGCTACCGAGCGAGCAGGGGAGCATTCCTGTGACCAGCCTGTTTCTTTTTCCTCTCCCTTTGCCGTTGAATTTCTCTGAAATCTGGGCAAGACGGGGCTCAGATGCATTCCTGCACGCCGCTGCCCCCCAACAGCCACCTCGTTTCTTGTTTCCAGCTCCTTCCCCAAAGGCTTGTGTAAACCCTCTGACAGCAGGGCGGGCCGTGGCAGTAAATGTCACGGGAAATGGATGGGGGTCAGGCAGAGCGCTGCTTTGGAGCCTGCTGATTTGGTTTAGGCTGACCAAAAGCTCAGCCAGCCCCGTCCTTTATCCCGGGGAGGGGAGGGCCGCCGAGCCCAGCAGCAAGAACTTGTTAAAAGTCTCCAGATCCTGTCAAAATGCCTCCGTTTTATGGCTTTCGGTTGAAGGTTGAAGTTTTTGATGAGGTGCATGAGCAGTGACCTCATAAATTGCTCTATAAAGTGTAAACATGATTTCTAAAAATTCTTTTTGAAACACAACTTTAATAATAAGCCAAACTTGTTAGAACTGCCTTAAATATTTATGTGCATGGCATGCTCTCTGCACAGCTTGTAATTATAGAATATTATTTCTCTTTTTGTACATTTTTAGGCTGTACTGCCACTAGCATTTGACACTTTAATTTAAGCATAGTTAAAAAAAAAAAAAAAGAAAAAAAAAAAAAAGGATAATTTCTTTTTTCCACCTTAGTATAAAGATAAACCAGCGAAATCATTCCTGCATTTGCTGGTACAATTTCAATTTTTAGCTATGTTGATAATTTACTTTTGATGCTAATTAATTACAAGTAATCATAAAAACAAATTAAAAGCACTATACTTGCAGCAGGTTTTTTTATGCTTATGAAATAATGCATCTTTATGCATCTGTTTACTTGCTATGTAAAAAAATGTAATCTATATTCATAGGAAAACAACTTTAGCACTCAACGGTGGTGCTGTGAGCCATTACCACTAACACGTTTTTAGCTATCTTTGCTTTTTCTAGAAAGAGGGCAGTCCGGTGCAAAACCCCAAAGTCCACCAGTTGGGAAATTTGAGGATAAAAGCCTGTGATTTAGGGATAAGACAGAGAGAGAGGCTTGAGCATGTGGATTTCAAAGGAAGGGCATTTTATTTGTAGATAAATATCCATCAGAAATGGATGTCATCCGTGTCCCCATGGCACGCGGCTCCTGGTCTTCTCATGCATTTTTCCACATGCGTTAAGCAGTTTGTGGGAGAAGACAGAGACTTGCAGATAACCCGCGAGTTTTGGGTCGAGCCAGCGGTGCAGCTGGTCATGATGACCCTCTGGGATCTCGTGGGGAGGAAGGATCGGGGCCAGCTCCGAAAACTTCCTCCCACCCTTGCCAAGTCTCAGAGCTGAGTCACCAACAACTCATTATCAAGACTCTGTGTATTGACCTAACTCCTGGAAGAGGGCCTTGAATTCCTTGGCAACTTCCAATACTAAGAAACAGAAGCTTTTCTGGGATTAGATGTGAAAATGAATAAAACAATGCTGTGCAGTCATCTTTGCGGGACTGAACTCAATGCTAGATTCAATATTTTCGTTATGCCTCACCATTATTATTATTTTTTTCTTTCGGTTTTCAGCTCTGTGCAAAATTCGGCGTTCAAAGATTTTTTTTCATTGTATGCTAATTATTAGCACCACTTATGCCAGAGAGGTTTAACTATGTAATAGATATAGATCTAACTAAATACCATAGGTGTTAAAGCTCGAACAACACATTTTTGTTAATCAAATGATACTGAATTAACATACTGTACAATAATTGCCTTGTTAAATTTAAATTAAAACCTTATTTGAGACACATAATCTGGAGTGTGACTCACTGTTCTAACCACATTTAGATTGTTGTCAGTACAATTAGGATTTTGAATTTACAAGTCGCTACTTTTTTTTTTTTTTTTTTAATTTAATCAATCACTATAGCAACTGCAAAATTAAATAGGAGACGCTCCCCCTTCCAAGTCCACTTTGCTGTACTTGCTCCTCTCGCTGGTGGAAAAGCAAACTTTAAAAGTTTCTGAAGCCCAGCTGTCTCAGCAGTTTGCCCAAGGCTCCTGAGCACATCCCATAGGGAAGGCAGGTCCTGCCACCCTCACCCGATGTCCCCAGCACCCGACAACCTCAGAATCCCCCCCTGGTAATTAGGGGATGTTCCTCTGTCTGTTCATGTTTAGTTTCATGTTGCTGGGGTGAGGGTGAGGTTTCTGCAGCCTGTAATTCTCCGCGTCCCAGTTCAGGTGCGATGGCTGAGAGCTGCTCGCAGGAGCACCGGAGGGGGCGAAATGGCTCCTTTTGGGTACGAACATCAGAGAAAGGGTAAAATTAACGAGGAAAGTCATTTTCCAGAAACAGTTTTCTCAAGCAAACAACGACAACAACAAATATTCAGCAAAAACAACAAACCTGCATCTATGTGTTGTAATTCCCAGCTAGGGAAAATAGGGGAAACAGCTCTGACTTTCAGAGGGAGCTGCAAAGTCCATGGGACTGCATATTTAGATACCTCCAAGCCCCTTAATACCCCCAAGCCCCTAGCCTATAGATAACGCTTCCAAAAATGCCTACAACTGTTTCTCCCATCCATTTCCCCTGTTGTGTTCGTCCTTACACCATAGGTACGCTCTTCCTTTGGACTGGAGTCTGAACCCCTCGCCTGCTGGTGCGCCTGACCTTTTTCCTCGACTTTTCGCCTGGCTGTCTGTCCCGCTCTGCTTTGCAGCTCGTATTGGAAAAGCTGTGAGAACGTCCCTCAAAGAGAGGAAAATTCCCCTCCGCTCCGCCGCTTGAGGCCTGGGAAGGCTCCCACACCGGCACTTGCTCTTTGCTCGATTGCGTTATGTATTTACTCAGTTTGTCCAAGTGCGGAACACGCCAAGGGGGAAAAAAAAAAGAAAAGAAAAAAAAAAAGCAAGTGAATTTTTCTTACAGAATAGAAAGCATTTGGGCTGCCTTTGAACCTTAACCAAACATTCACGGCGGTTTATACAGCGCGCAGCTCAGCTGAACAAAGTTACACAGTGCAGAACCACACCGAGCTCGGTGTTTTACCGAGGTGCGCTTGGAGAAAGCGTTCTCCAGGCTGTGGAAAGCATGGGGATGGCTTCAGCCGTGCTTAGCCCTGCTCCTGCTTCCTGCCACACCGCAGCCCGCGAGGCCGGGGCCATTTCACCAGCACCTGGCACCGTTAATAGCCCCATTCATGGGGCTCGTTACTCGTACCCTTGCAGGTTTAGGCACTGACCTCAGATTTACAGGTGTAACTTAACGAGGCACACGTTGCGGCCAGATGTCCTGCAAACAGATACCACGTATATATCTTTGGAGGCGAATAATCCTGAAATACTCATTAGGAGGCGTGCTCGGGAGATCTGCCTTGTTATTAGAGCACCAGTCTTGCACGTCGGCCGGAACAGATGGAAAAAAAAAAAAAAACAACAAAAAAAAAACGGGAAAATGTATTTAACATTCCTGCTAGTTTCTTAAAAATAATTATCTGATTAAAAGTGCCAAATGCGATTTTCATTTTTCCTTATTCATCGTACTGGTAAAAGTGTAGTGAAATTGGCAGTGATGCAACACCACAGAGTTATGACAGGAATCATAAAAGGAGCAGGCCAGCGAGTGAATTTTAACTCGAGAATACGGGATTTAAGCACCGTCCAACCTCATTAATTTACAACTGGGGCTTTGTGCAGCAATCATAACATATAAATTATACATTAGGCCCTTTTCAATCACAAGGAATGTGTTGAAGGTACTCTGCACGGAGCAGCTCGAGCAGCAAGCTGTGGTGCCCACGTGGAAATGGCCCACGAGGGCTTCGCCTGCTGCCCACGGGCTGGGGGCTCACCGGGGGCTCACCAGCCCCAGGAAGGGTGGCCAAGAAACCAGGAGCCTGCCTTGGGCAGGTTGGTTGGTGGCGGCCTCTTTTCCTACCAGGGAAGTGGTGGTGGTGCCCATTGGTGTGTCAGAAGATAAGGAAGCACAAACTTTAAGAGAAACTCCTGGGAAACCTGGTTTGCATTTGTGCACAATCTCACCAAACATTGGGTGAATCCTGTCCGAGCCTGTGCCTGTCTGCAGCAGGGGCTTGGGGCCCTGCTGTGGGGTGAAGGAGTGTTCCCAAATACAGCAGGACGATGCTGGTGAGGGCGTGGGACGGACACCCGACAGCCGGGGAGATCCCTCCTGCGCTCCCGGGGGCTGTGCAAGAAGAGAGAGAAGCCCCAGCTGAACATTTCAGCTCTCGCATGGAGGTGAGAGACGTGGCTGCATGAGATTTTAACTTCGTTTTGGCAGAAAACTGCCAAGTTGTGATTCAGGACCGGGTGTTAGGCAGACTGCCTTTTGTCTTTGACTTCTACTTACGCTTAACCCAAGGAAGATCATTGTCTTTCTCAATAAACACCTGTTTGGAGTTTTTTTAAATGTCTGGTTCCCAAGAGTTGTGTTATAATAAGGCACGGGTTTAATTGCATTGAAAGGAGAAAATAAAAAAAAAGGTATGATTTCTAAAAGGACAGAATACTTATGATATTTATGGACCCATTTAACACACTGCTTTGGTTTAAAGAGGTGGGGATTTACATGTGTTAAGTGCTCCTACAAATCTCCTTTACCCTTTCTTGGAAAAGGGCAACACAATAATAATTGTTAAATTTATGTGTTAAGACGTCTGTACTGTAGAGCTCTGCACATCCTAGGTAAGCACGATAGACTGGCTGCTTCCTCTTCGTATCCTCTGTCTGCTTACCCGAGCCCCCGAGGATCCCGATGCCTGGCAGAGGGGTGCTTGGTGTGCGCTCTGGTGCACAGCTCGCTCCCTGCTCTACCTGGTGAGGGGCTCTGGCGAAGCACAAAGTGCAATTACACAGCCCACAGGTAGCGTGGTGATTCCGTAAGTGGATGAAATCCTAAACATTGACACAGGGAATGGGTTGGATCCGTGCTCGTGGCAGCCCTGAGGAGCCGTTTCCAGGAGGAAGACCTCTGCGCCCATCAGCCAGACCCCCCCAAAGTGCCACCAAGCTCCGTGGGGACCAGCCGGGAGCGTGCCCTCATCCAGCCCACCCCGAGGGTGCCGGGTTTAGGGTCCCACTGGTGTGCTCACAGCTCACAGGCACACCCCGGAGCCGTTCGGTGCCAGCACTGCCCACGGGCGTGCGAGCCCTGCCGCTGCCCGGCGAGGTCCCGGCGGCAGAAGCGTAACGCCGTGCGGAGACACAGCCATCGCCGGAGCACAGCCTCCCCTACCCGCGATAGAAATAGGCTCCACGAAATGTCAGCGATGTTAAATATGGTGCTAATTGCTGTTTGTTTATTCTTCTCCTTAAAAACCTTCAAACCAACTGAAATGAACCCTCAATGAACTTTTATCACTGATAACACAATCTCTTAATTTAGATGCCTGTAGATGAGCAGGCTGGGAAAAGGCACTCGTGTTTATCTTACCCCGTGCTCAGTACACAGCCCTGGAGAAAGTGTGTTTCTAAAGGCACTGATAGTCAGACAGCCTCCTCTGGGAGAACGGTGTGTTCCCAAATGAGGCTTGTTATGCTGATATTTATCACAGTTTGATTTTTAGAACTCCTGAATATGTTTGCTTTCCGTATTTTTCCATACTCTGATGACTTCACTGCTATTTAGAGCGATGTTTCCCCGCTGAATGCGCGCTCGGGTGCGAATATCATATGCGCTTACCTGCAAATCTCACCGCCAGCCTCAAATTGGCACAGTCCCCGCAGCACGGGGGTGTGAGACCTGAGCCACCTGTGCTGCCCAGCCGCAGCCGGGATGCGATGGGGTGGCCCTGATGCTGAGCACCCTATGCCCCATGGCATTATTCAGCAGCGGATCTGTTTGGAGGCACGGCACCGCCAGCACCGTAGCATCAGCGTGGGGCCTGGTGCTGTGATAGCCTTCAGAGAACACACGAGGATGCCTCTCTAAGCTGGTGCTGATGAAGTTTAGCCTGAAAACTAGAAGAAAAAAAAAAAATCTTAACCTTTCCACTAGCAGTGTCTCTGCAAAAGCCGTTTGAAGACACCAGGGAAAGCCTAAGATGGCTGGATAAGCATGATGAAGGGCTCTGTGTTGGCATAATTACTGGGGACTGGGCTTGACAGGTCTGGGAGCTTCTTCTAGTTCCATTCACTTTGTTTCTCGAATCTTTTTGCGGCGTTTTCTGTTCCTGATTCCTGCACTGAAGGCTGACCCTATCTTCTCGACAGCCCTCAGCCCTTGCAGCTGCAGAGGGCTTCGTCCTGCTCTCTGGCAGCCTGGCCATGGTGTGTGCAGAGCGTGTGAACATTCAGGACGGCTGCTGGGCACAGGGGATGGCACGAGGGACGTGCATCTGCCCTCGCCTGGCGCTGGTGCCCACCTCTTGCCATCACTGATATGTTGTGCTCTGTGGCCCCTGCTAAGCACCGGGTAACTCCGGCTTCAGCAACTGCAGGCAATTCCAGCTGTTAACCATTGGATCTGCTCGCAGAGCTCCAGAGAAACTCCCAAAGTACAAATCCGCATGATTCACTGGCCGCTGGTGCCAAAGGATTTTGTTTTACCATGTACGCACAAAGCATCAGTGTATCACACACTAGTGATGTTCAGCATCTCGTGTTGTGCACACAATCTTTGGCAGCTCTTGGCCCCGAGGAAGGCACTAAGCAAAGCCACGGCTCAGCAGAGCGCTTCCACGTGTGCTGAGCTCCGGGCGCGCACCTAAATCCTCACCTCGCAGGAAGGAAAGTCACCTTTTGCTTAACGTAGATCTGGAAAAAAATGCTCTTTTTGGGCCAGAGTTTGCTTCCTGAAGGAAAGCTCCGCCAGCAGAATCGGGGTGGTGCTGTTGGGGCTGGTGCTGGCAGCCCTGCATGCTTTAGGGCCGTGTCCTCCTGCCCTGCTTGGCCCCTTCAGAGACCCCGATTCCGTCAGAGGGACAGGGCCGGGCAGTGCTTTCCTGGCTCGCCCCTGTCCCAGATGTGCCCCCGCGCTTCCTCCCACCTGTGCTTTCTTGGTGGCCCCTCTAACTGACCGTGTCCCCTGCCCTGCAGCTGTGCATCACCTGTGTCAGCCCTAGCGGGGCTCGTTTCCAGCACTTCAAAAGCTCCCCCGCATCACAGCCGCCACTCCCTTCTCTCTTGGTACCGGCGTGCACAAAAATTCAAAGAGGTTCGTGGATGCGAAGCCGTGTAATTAGTGGAGCCAAGACTCAAAGGTACGATCGCTGGAGGGAGGTTGAATTTACCCACAGGAAAACTATTTTGTGGCTAGGGAGTGGTGAGACCTACGAGCACCAGGGGATGCAGGCACCAAACGCACGGGCAAGGACTGCACAATGAAGGCCACGCACTGCGAGCTACCCACTCCCATTCCCCCTCTCTCCTCTTTTCGCTTTGCCTGTTTATCTGCAATCTGTCTATTTAAATTCCTTCTAAACAAGATGGGAATATCTTTGTGCCTGTTTGTAAGAATATTCCGCATCCATCTGTTATTTACATCATTCATTTTCCTGAGGTGTCTCCAACAAATCCTGGCTGGATGCTCTGTATGTGTTATTAATAAAACAGCTGTAAAAATATTAACTGTACGGCCTAATTGTCAGCCCTGATTAAGAGCCAGATTTATCCCCGAACGGATGCTGAGACAGGGAACGTGGCTGTTCTCCAGATCTGACCCTTGCAGCTTGCTCCACAGTTTGCTCTTTGAACACTTCAATTGCAGAGCTGAGAAGAAAGCCTTCACCCTCAACCTCATTACATTTCTCTTTGTTTCTGCGTGCACAGCCCTGCCGGAGCCACCGGCGCTCATTTTATTCTTTTAATTTGCCACTTACACCCTGTTGTAATGAAGTATTACCAGCAGCGTTTCACCTCCGCGCCGTTTC